AGGGGACCTGGCCTACGGACAGGCCAAAACAGACCCGGGCAGAGGGACAGAGGAATGAGTTTGGGAAAGGGGCTTCGGAGAACTGCGACTCCCAACTCTGCGCGGTTTCAGGAGCGGTCGGTCGTTCCCCAACTCAACTTTTCCCAAATTAAAGAAGATGATGCCACAGTTGGCTCTCTCTCTCTCTCTCAGTCTCAGTCGGATACGTGACTCCTTTGGGTTTCTTCCCCCCCCCCGGTCCTCCCGCCTGCCCGCCACAGGATTAGCTTTGTGGCTAGAAGGAAACACACTTTCCGCATTTCCCAGATGCCCGGAGAGTAGCTTGTGGCTGTTCTTCTTTTCTCCCTCGTTTTGGCTCACGCTACAGAAAATTCCCGAAACCACAACCTTGCAGGATGGAAGCAAATCAAAAGGAAGGCTTTTCAAACTGGCCCACACGGCCTCCTCGCAGCCTGGAAACCTCCCTCCACCCCCCACCCCACTCAACACCCCCCCACACCCGATCCCAGTAAAAAAGGCGAGGCTCCCACGGGGAGCCCAGCAATGCAGCATTTACGGGAGGCCCTTGACTCTCTTGCCCTCTCTCCTGCATGCAGCTCAGCCACCTCTCTCCATCCAGAGGACCAAGCCAGCTGCCCACTCCGGAACGCTCTCGCCAGCCCCAAAGGGGAACCAGGTCTTACCCATCGGATGGGAGGGCAGGATCGGACCTTCCTGGGCTGCTCTCAGCTGTTTCTACCTGGGAAGGCGATGATTCTTCAGCACTTCCTGGAAGTCCCTGAGGAAGAACTGATGGTTTTCTGGGAGGCCAGGTCCAGCCCGGCCATAAGGGGTAAGGGGGCCAGTGGCCTCTGGTGGCAGGCGCAGAGAGACGGTAGGCGGTGTGTGCCGCAGAGGGAGAGCTTTGGGCTGATGCTGGCTAAGGTACCCCCTTCAGGGCTGGCAGAAGATCCTGGCGGTGCTGAATTAAAATGGGCAGCCAGCCCTATGGGGCTTTTTGAACATGGAATGGGCCAGAACGTCACCTTACTATCATTTCTATCCTTTAACAGAACTTGGGAAAGTAAACCTTTGGACAGGAACTCCCTGGATGGCGTAGCCAGCGATTGAAAAATAAATACATAAATACATAAAAGGAGGTGGCTTTGATGTCTTTTAAAGTGTTACGTTGTACTAAAGCCAGGCAAGAAGCTTTAACGTTTGTTTTCTGTCAACAGAAATCATTGTAGCACTGAATTGTCATCAATGCCATTTGTTGTTCCAACAAAGTTTTACGCACGGCCCTTGCTTTTCTTATATTCGCAATGCATAAACGTCACATTTATAAAACAAAACCGGATGCATGGAAGAAACCCTGTCTTCCCCACTTCCACTGAAAAACAAACAAAATCTGAAAAGTTTCTCTGCTGGACTGGAAAGATGCAGTTTCCCCCAAAACTAGAAACTGTACAGAGACACAATAACCCATCCTGCACACACGCCATTAAAAGCTTCTCTACTGCCCCTCCCTTTAATGGCCACCAGTGTGTGCATGTGAGAACAGACCAGTGATTTTGAAAGAGGAAAGGGTAGTTGCCCCACATTTATAGGGGGAGCTTTCCTTTTTCCCACGTCCCGTCTCGTCGAAGGTGGAAATGTAGTTCTGGGGAGACTAAGAGAGGGTTGGGGGGGAAGGTACTTTTCGGAACGAGGAGCCTATGTCAAGAATATCCTGGATTTGCAGAGGGCTGAGAAGCGCCAAGAAACTGTACCCAATAAAAAGGCAAGCTGAGTCGGGGCATTCATAAGCGGGAACTGGACTCTGGGAGTTGGTGCCCCCACCCTCTTTCTTCAACTTGAACGGGGAACTCTGCAGCACTAATTAGGGCTATGTAAGCATACGGAAAGATATTGGAAATTGGGGTGGGGGAGGGGGGGGAGGGAGAGGAACTTTTCCAGCCAACAGTCTGGCTGGAAGGATTCTGGGCCCGACCCCAGTTCAGGTGGCTAAGTCCTGCTAAACCCAACAAAATGTTCACCCCTGTGTTTGAAAAGCATCTGTCAAGAGCTGGATGATGAGCAGAAAAGAAGAGATTAATCCTCATTCAAAAGCAGCCTTGCCCAGTCTGATGAGTCAAAAGCAAGGAGGAAGAAGAGCACGAAATGCATCAGGGCCTGATCCACCAGGAAGAAGAGGAGGCACCGAGAGCAGGACCCGATCCACCTCCCCCAAAGAACCCACCTCCACAGGGCTTGGTCCTTCCCCCCCCCCAAACAGCTGTCTGGCCACCATTCTGCCAGGTCGTTGAGCTGTGTCAAATCCAGAGCCCTTGCTTGCATTTTCCTCTGCCCTCCTCCTTTGCTATTCCTTTCATATCACCTCTCTCTCTCTCTCTTTTCTTAGATGGTGAACCTAAGTCCTTGATCTGGATCCGGTAAATAGAGAAGACCCAGCAAATCCATGGAATTTACGTAAAAGGGTTGATTCAACAATCCATCCATTTTGCTGGATTTGGGGCCCCTCTCTGTCGAGGCAGAGTCCAGAAAGAGCTCGTGGAAAAGAAAAGCAATCGCCTTTCCTTTAAGGTGCTGGTTTGGCTACCTATTCACAGGCCACCTAAAACAGATGCTCTCGCCAGGCGGGCCGGCCGACACAGAAGCTGTTCCCTGTTGCAACCCATTGGCTTTGGACTGCAGCCAGAAGCATCCCGATAAAACCTCTGGCTGAAGGAGACCATGTGGATTGCATAGACGAAAAGGGAGGAACCTGATGACTTATTTCTCATTTTATTATTCCCCCCCGGCGCCGTATATTTTAAAAAGCATTTTTTTTTTTACAAATAGAATCTTCTAACAATAGCGATAAATAGATTTTTTTTGTTTTTATACATTATGTCACTGGAAACACCAACACAATCTTGGAAGTTTTTAAATTAAAGAGGAGGAGGAGGAGGAGATTTTAGTGTCTGAACATTAATTTAAAATTTCATGGATTTTGTGCATCATTTAAAAAAATTATAAAGTAACAAAAAAACCCCTCAAAAGAACACACACAACACAGACATAAAAGAGGGTCCAGACATTCACAGAAAGGGGGGGGGGGCTTATTCACATCTAGAGAAGGCAATTGGAAATTAAAACAGGAACGCTTTGGGGACTTGGGGGGTGGTGGCTCTCCCCAGCCCCCACACGGATGGCAAGGGGGAGAAGCCATCTCAAGGTGCATCGCATGTCAAAAGGGTGGCCTCTCTCCCCTCCTCCGGCCCGCCTTCTTCCCCAAACAGTTCAGCATGGGAGAATCGGTCAGCGGCCCCTCTGAGATTTGTTGTGAATCACGGCTGACGGCTCCTGCCGAGAAAAGGAGGAGGACGGAAGTCAAACCCCATCTTCCTTCCCTCTATTTTCCTTCCTTTCTTCTTTAGTTCCTTCCTTCCTTCATCTCTGCTCCTTACAGAAACATCTTCCTGGGGAGGTTTTCTTGACGAACCAGACGTGTCGTGCAAAAAAAAAAGGGGGGGGCCGCCAGAGTCCCACCTCTAGCAGTGCGTCAGTCCAGGGCCCCCCAAGACAATCGGAAGATAGCAAGTCCCGAGGCGAGGGGGGGGTTCGAGAGCCTACGGCACCAACCGAGCAGCGGACGGAGAGGAGAAAGGGTGGACGGGTGGGAGTCCCAACGATTGTCGGCTATTCTTTGGGATACACCTCCAGGGAGGAGACGCCCAACCTCCACCTGGAGCAGAAGAGTCCCCTCGCTCCCTCAGGGTGCCAACGTTGGCTGGGAAGCCTTTGGGGAAGGCAAGAGGGCACTGCGTCCACCCCCCCCCGCTCGTCTGTCCCGCGGCTCCCGAAAGAAGCTTCCTTTCCAGCCAAGGCACGGCCGGAAGTGCATGGCTTGGAAACAGGAGGCTGAAGACAGGAACGGGCAGAGCCGGGCACAGGGAAGAGTCGCTCTGCTCACGCCGCAAGCGTCCAGCTCGGGTGAAGACCTGCTGCTGTCGTCTAGCGGAACTGATCAGCTGGAGAGCATGACAGGGTTTGCCTCTTGGATTTATATAGCACTTGTCCGTTGCATGGATCACAGCCAGCCCTCCGTGGCCCGCAAGACCTACGACAATCGAAGGCTCCCCAGACGGGGTCGGTGGAGGGAATCGTCCACGTGACGCTCCATGGTCAAATGCTGGCATCAAGAGTCATCCCCGGAGATGCCACCCGGCAGACCGAGGAAGGCGTTCCTGGCCTTCTCCTGCCCAGGGCCCACCTTCTGAGGTCTTGCCCTCCAGAGAGGCCTCCCTGCTCAGCGAGGGGCCGCTGTCCCTTTCGGGTCTTGCTCTCCAGAACGGGCTGTAGGCGGACTATGGCTCTTGGGGAGGCAGGAGAGAGCTGAGCGCCGGAGCTCCTCCCGAGGGAGACCAGCCACCAGGAGCGGCTCCCGTGTTAGTTAGCATTGGGGTGATTGTCCGTGTTGAGATTCCAAGGGTTCGGAGTTCTCCCTTTGGGTTGGATCGGGTCCAGGAGCCGTCAGAGGCTTCTTGGCAGGCCACGAGGGGTCACGGCGTGGCTCTTGGGGAGGCAGGAGAGAGCTGAGCGCCGGAGCTCCTCCCGAGGGAGACCAGCCACCAGGAGCGGCTCCCGTGTTAGTTAGCATTGGGGTGATTGTCCGTGTTGAGATTCCAAGGGTTCGGAGTTCTCCCTTTGGGTTGGATCGGGTCCAGGAGCCGTCAGAGGCTTCTTGGCAGGCCACGAGGGGTCACGGCGGGCCAGA